GCTCTTTCTAGTATTGATGGGAGTTTCCTTTCAAACATTTTGTTTAAGGTTTTGTGGAAAGTCAACATCTTGATTATATTATAGTGTTTGGGAAGAAAAACTTTTAAAAATCTGTGTAAATTGCGACTTTGTAAAACAAACAAATCAGATTCGAATTATAGCAGACATATTAGAACATATTTTATTAATTAATCAGTTACACACAAAATAAAATCTCTTGTTAATGAAAATTATTAATAGGATACATTATCCTTACTGAGTAGAAATGAAATTAAAATGAAATTTAATTAACTTATAATTTACAGGGAAAGATAAAAATTATACAGCAGTTAAAACACCAAATTATTAATCTACAAAGTTTCAGCTTTTAAACACACATAGTTATTATAAATTTTATACGCTTCAAGTATTTTTTCATCTAAATATTTGCGCGCTTTTTGTGTTTACTACTACGTGTATGTACCAGGTATAAATAAATACAGCATATCAAATAGTCGGGGTCCGCGGAATAGTACGAGTAGCAGCCGGATGTAACAGTCTGTGTCAGAGTCGGAGTCAGTAATACATCATATTGTTTCCAGTGTATTCTATATATATATACATATATATATATATATATATATATATATATATATATGCGTGTGTGTGTGTGTTTATGTGCGTGTGTGTATGTGTGTGTGTGTGTGTGTGTGAGAGAGAGAGAGAGAGAGTGTTTACCTTTAAAAAGAACGTGATATTTGTAAAATAATGAAACTGGTATAGCAGAGAAAAGTAAAATGCGTACATTTAGTCAGAGCATTATAAGCAAATTTTTTTTTTTTAAATTTTACACTATTTACATTGTTCGGGTTATTGTCCTCATATTTGTTGCCGTATTCACGATGTTTCGACCGTTGTACGCACCGGCCTTCTTCATATAACTGGAATTTCGAAGCGAACACTTTATTTCGTCCACCGAGCTAGATTATTCTAGTTCCACGTGCCATGCCTCTTCTGGATGTAACAGTTATCTCCCATTAACTCAACTCTCCAAGTTTTTGTTCACCACTGCAGTAGGCAGGTATTGAAAAGGTGGTTCAACACTTCACAGACACCTCTTCCGAGTAAGACCCCCCCCCTAGAAAAGAGCATGTCTAAAGACTGTGTGTACGCAATCATCTACAGGTAAAAAAAATATAATTTACCCTGTATGTGTGCGTATGTAAATAAAAAATATGTGTATGTATGTAAATAAAAAATATAATTTACCCTGTATGAGTGTATATATATATATATATATATATATATATATATATATATATATACACACACACACATACAGGGCAAATTGTCGCCATATTATATTTTTAATTTCGCGCATGCGCGTTGTTTTTGTTTTTCTTTTTGATTTTGTCGACTGCATAGTATGGTAGGGTTAGTTGGGCACCGTTTCTGAGGAAAAGAACACCATGACTTAGTTTACACCGCTAAATATTTGAAAATGGGATGCTATACTGCTTGGAATTCGCGCCGGAAGCTCCAATACGAACATTTCAGAGTGATTGGGTTTCAACCTGAGGGCAGTGCAGAGGATTCAGGAAGAACTGGATGAATGTAATGTTCATTTCGAGGTACGGCAGCTCGGAAAACTCACTCTGGTCGTTCTTATTAAAAAAAAAAAAGAACTCCCGAATTTGTTCGTGAGAGCCTCTCAGGCTCAACATGGAGGCGTACATCAAGTGCCTTGACAAAGTAGTGCTGACCTGGGTTAAAACGGGCGACCTCATGAAGACCCTATGACTGGCAACAGGACTCTGCACCATGACACACAAGCAGAAGAACCCAATCATGGCTATCAGACAATTTCTGCAACTACAACAACGCTTACATCTGACCGCCAAACTCCCAAGACTGAAAACCTATTGATTATGTCTGGGGCGCAGTTTAGCGAGACGCCAACAAAACTCCTTGTAACACCAAATATGAACTTAAGTACATCTTTGGTATTCAAACATGAAACAGACAGTCGCCAATTTGTGTTGATCTCAATGTCCACTTTTTATATATATATATATATATATATATATATATATATATATATATATATATATGTAGAAATTTTGAAAAACAAACAAAAATCCATAAATGTAGTTAAAATGAAAGAATTGTCGACGTCAGACGTTTCGGTTTTAATAAACCATTTTCAAGACAAATTCATTGAAATACAAATTCAGTTAAATATGACGAAAACGATGGACATAAAAACACAAGTCTTATCCAAGAGAATTTAGGTTTGTGTTTTCAGTAGACAGTATATAAGCAAGTGTAAATGGATAAAATCCGACAGAATGTAGAAATTTTGAAAAACAAACAAAAATCCATAAATGTAGTTAAAATGAAAGAATTGTCGACGTCAGACGTTTCGGTTTTAATAAACCATTTTCAAGACAAATTCATTAAAATACAAATTCAGTTAAATATGACGAAAACGATGGACATAAAAATGGTTTATTAAAACCGAAACGTCTGACGTCGACAATTCTTTCATTTTAACTACATTTATGGATTTTTGTTTGTTTTTCAAAATTTCTACATTCTGTCGGATTTTATCCATTTACACTTGCTTATATACTGTCTACTGAAAACACAAACCTAAATTCGTTTTTTACAACATGGAAGATTGCAGGCTTATCCGGAAATACAGGAATTTTAAAATAATCACGAACTTTTAGGAATACGTTATGAAAGCGTCGCCCATGTGACTACGGCGTGACCACGTTAAACGGAAAGCTGATCTTTTTAAAAATTTTCAGTTATCTGTTTTACTCTTGGATAAGACTTGTGTTTTTATGTCCATCGTTTTCGTCATATTTAACTGAATTTGTATTTTAATGAATTTGTCTTGAAAATGGTTTATTAAAACCGAAACGTCTGACGTCGACAATTCTTTCATTTTAACTACATTTATGGATTTTTGTTTGTTTTTCAAAATTTCTACATTCTGTCGGATTTTATCCATTTACACTTGCTTATATATATATATATATATATATATAGTTTACGAAAAACTTTGTAATCCGTATGGGTAGACCCAAGGAGGATAAAATCCAGAGAGCTTAATGTAAATTCAGAGCAAATAATTTAAATAAAACAGACCACTTTAAGGTTCCATTTAATAAATTTATTATTTAAATAATTTATTACATGGAACCTTAAAAAAGTGGTCTGTTTTATTAAAAATATAAATATATATATATATATATATATATATATATATATATATATATTTTTTTTTTTTTCTTAAACGATCGTGGTGATGTTCTCTGTCCCGTCTCTTTTTGTTTGTGTGTGTATATATATATATAAATATGTCTGGGTGCTTATATATCATAATCTGATTGCGCATGAGTTTAGGACCCCATTCACACTCTTAGGATTAAAATGTATACATTGTCAAAGGACCGGATATAAAATTAGCTAAAGTAAATTCAATGAAGAAATAAATTGAATAACATATATATTTCTTCTTTTCTCCTCAGTAATTTTATAGTTGTAAACTTAATAGCGATTAAATTTTGATTTTGAAATTAGCAGTTTTTAATTTTAATATTAAATTTTATCATATAATTTAGTAATTACTGGTTAGAATAATTTCTTTTTTAATACTACCAATATTTTAAACATCTGAATAGCTATTATAACATGACTTCTTTGTCAAGCTTTTTGAATTTTCCTATACTTGTATTTTGATTGGTCAATCTAGCTTTTGTAACATTGTTTTCCCCTTGTGAAGGATTGTTAATTAATTTGAAAATTTTAAAACCATTTATTTTACATTCTTCATCATCACTTGATAAGACACCGAGGGTGTTGAAACAAAATGGCTATTTTTGTAGTGATTTTATAACATATTTATGTAATAAATTTTTTTTAAATAAATAATTATACCAGGTCTCTGTATTCGGATTATAAAAAGAGTGTGTCAACAGTTCGCGTCGATCAACGACTGAAGAGTTCAATATATATATATATATATGTGTGTGTGCGCGTGCGCGCGTGTGTGTGTGTGTGTGTGTGCGCGCGCGCATGTGTGTGTGTGTGTGTGTGTGCGCACGCGCGCATGTGTGTGTGTAACTTTTCACGTAGCGTATAAATATTGTACTTTGATCCTAAGAAAATATACTGGAAAGTGTCATTTTGATTCTAGGCAAAGTGCACAGATACTACGCTGACCCTAGGTAGAAGTGCCGATTCCTACATATAGAAGCATGTCGTTTTTTTTTATAATAAATCTAATATAATAATATAATATAATATAATAATAAAATATAATAATTACAATATTTTATAATAATATAATATAATAATTATAATATTCTATAATAATATATTATAATGATATAATAATTATAGTATTTTATAATAATATAATAAGATAATATAATAATATAATAATTATATTTTATAATAATATAACAATATAATATATTAATTATAATATTTCATAATAATATATAATAATTATAATATAATTTCCTGTTCATTTAATAGGAATAGACAAGTTCGCTTATCGTCCGTTTCACACGCTTCCCCTGTCTTGTGATGACTTTTTCTTTCTTTCTTTCTTTCTTTCTTTCTTTCTTTCTTTCTTTCTTTCTTTCTTTCTTTCTCCTCTTTATTTCCCCCCTCTCTCTCTCTTCCTCGATTTCTTTTCCTGTTTCTTTCTTTTTTTATTCTTTTCATACCTACTTGTCTTTATTTTCTTCGTTTTTTTTTTAAATTTTTCTTACTTTTTTCTTCACTTTATTTTCCCTCTCTATCTCTCTCTTTCTCGATTTCTTTCTTGTTTCTTTCTTTCTTTCTTTTTATTCTCTTCCCGCTTGGCTGTCTTTATTCTCGCTTACTTTCTAGTTAGTTTTTTACTTTATTTTCCTTCTTTTTCTATCCATTTCTTCCTTTCCTTCTTTTTCCTGTTCTTCATTCTGTATCCCTCACTTTCTCTTTCGATTTCTTTCTTTCCTTTCGGCCACATCACATTGAAACATTGGTTCCCGTACGAAGTTAAGCAACGTCGAGCCTGGTCAGTACCTAGATGGATAACCGCTTGGGAATACAAAGTGCTGCAAGCTTGGATATGCGGGTGGTGTAATGAATAATGACTCGGAATTAATACTCGGAGGGCCGAGTTCCAATTCCAGTTGAATTCGTTGTATCCACTTACACGCAAATACCATCGGAAAAGATATGAATCTACTACTTTCCTCCCCAGCTATGGGTTAATTAGTAAAACGTATCGTTAAACAATTATTGTCTCCAATAACAATAAACTTAAATAATCTAACTTAAATAATCTAAAAATATTTTCTCGCTTTAAATAACCTGTAAAGGGTGATAAGCTGTAGTAAACGAATCAGTCAGATCAAATAAATTTTTGGAGATTAAAGTTGACTGGAAAGCATGGAGTCGGAAGAGAGTTCCACAGTCGAGAAGTGCAAGAAAAGCAACTGTTAGCATATTCCTTGCAGTTGCCAATTGAATTGTAAATTACTGAGACTTTTTCGCTAATCTAGTGCCGCGCTTTATTTCATAAAGTCTAGGTTTCATAGCGGAAAGTTAAACAGAATCATGAAAATATTTATAGAATATATTATAGATAATATTATAGAAAAATATTTATAGAAAATATTATAGAAATATTTATAGTAAATTTTATAGTAAATATTATAGAAATATTTATAGAAATATTATAGAAATACTTATGGAAAATATTATAGAAATATTTATAGTAAATTTTATAGTAAATATTATAGAAAAATTTATAGAAATATTATAGAAATACTTATGGAAAATATTATAGAAATATTTATAGTAAATTTTATAGTAAATATTATAGAAATATTTATAGAAATATTATAGAAATACTTATGGAAAATATTATAGAAATATTTATAGTAAATTTTATAGTAAATATTATAGAAATATTTATAGAAATATTATAGAAATACTTATGGAAAATATTATAGAAATATTTATAGTAAATTTTATAGTAAATATTATAGAAAAATTTATATATATATTATAGAAATACTTATGGAAAATATTATAGAAATATTTATAGTAAATTTTATAGTAAATATTATAGAGATATTTATAGAAATATTTATAGAAAATATAGAAAATATTTATAGAAAAGACACAGGGCAGTTATCCTCCGGCGATGAGAAAAGTGTCCAAAGCTGAGATACCAGGTCAGGACCAATCAAACAAAACAATTTATTATAATTTGTAATACAAATATAATAATTAGAATTCTTAGAAAAAAAATTATATTTATTTAATTTTCTTTTAGCATTTTATGCGATATCTAATGTTGACGTCTTTTTTCAAATATCTTTACATCGTCTACTAATTTTTGCTTCTTAATTAAAAAAAAAAACTTGTTCATTTTATTTTAACTATATTTTTTTGCAACACACTGACGCATGTTAAAATTCCCATAGCATTTGGTATTGTCGAAGTCATCGCTAACATTTTTTGTCGAGATTTACAAACTCTACGTTTCGTTCAGTTTCGCAAACCAATCGATGAAATTTGAATAAACTGATTTTTTTTTTTAAATACTTTGACAAAAACCCTACTTCACCGTTTTTACGCAGACTATTAAAACCAGCTGTACATTGAAACCTATTATTTATTTGCACTTCTCCCCAAAATTTGGTTTCGATCGGTTAGTGTATGGCTATTTTAGAGGGTGTGACGGACGGACTAATGGAAGTCAAAGAATTTTATAGATAGATAGATAGATTGAACGCTGTGTAAAAAAAAAATACGTTCAGTACGATTTATACGCCCTCACTACTTCAGGCACAATTCAATCGATGCATCATTCCCAAAATTAACCGTGGATGATTTCGGAATATATCTATGCTCACCTGTAAGTCCTTGTGAAATCGCGCCATCTACTGGCGTGTCGCGCGACTTAATTTCTCATCCCGCACCCACATTACGATTATTGGATCGAACTCAATATTCAGTCGTAATTGATATAGCAAGACAAACTTCGAAGTGCCCAATTATTTTTTAAGCATAGCTTAGACATGTTAGTAGGTCGAAAGTATGGAACACTCAATGAGAATCGAACTCACTACTCAGCCGTAACTGATCTAGCGAGACAAACTCGCTAACCATTACACCACGTCGAAGTCATAAATATTCATGGAAGCCTGGCTTGCTTAGCAGTTCTTTCATTATGAAATATCTCGAAATACTGACAATGCTTTCCATCGGATTTTCTGTTGAATTTGTCATCTTCCACTTCACTCTCTGGTGTTCGAATTGCGTAGGTTAAAAACAAACAAACAAACCAACCAATCTTTTGCTGGTTGCCAAGGTTTTTTTTTTCCGTTTTTTTTTTTTTTTTTTTTTTTTTTTTTCCTCTTTTATCGTAGCTTTAGTCCAGACAAAATATTACATGCAAATTTAATTACTTTGGAACACACAATCATTTCTATGTTCTTCAGTTTCCGGCCCTGAAAAGAAAAAAAAAAACTTATCAAGAATTAATAACCGTTATATATTCGTCTCTGTCGACAAGCGAATTCATCTCGTGATCAAATCAGGAGCCCATTCGCCGATTTAAACTGCAATAACATTTCATAAATATATTATTACATGATTATAAACTAATAAAAACTATTAGTAATATAAAAGTTCCTAGATCCATATTTTATGTTAGAGAAATCTTAGAAGTGTCTTTTAAGTTTATACCACTCTTTCTTGTGTATGCAAACAATTGTAGCACTTAGATAAAATGTTAAATAAATGTCAAACCCATTCAGAATGTAGGCGAGAGCTTTGTTATTATTTAATAATTTTTCCTTATTTTTCTGACCCCCTTGATTCCAGAAACGGACCGGTTTATCTGTTTTGCCAGTTCAAAAAAAAGTCATGTTATAACAATTTTATAATAAACCAGTAATTATACACTGATCCATTAATCATATATCTCACATATTTCTACAGAATTATCAACTGTAAAAGATTGATATTAAGTTTATTATTAACTATAAACTGGCATTTTCAGCTGATATTAAATGGAAAGAATATATTCAATCAATTGCTAAGTCGACAATTTTTCTCGCCAGAATTTATCTTATATATTTATAATGATTTTCCAAGCGTACATTAGATGTGGCACAAGGCCGAAAGTAGGGGGCACCCAGTGAGAATCGAACTCACTACTCAATGGTAATTGTTCTAGCGAGACAAGTTTGCTAACCATTACACCGCATCGAGGTGCGCATCTTACATATGCTATCATTCGGTCTTGCTTGGAATATTGCTGCCACATATGGTCTAGTGCTCCTGCTATATATTTAGAGATTCTTGATAAAATCCAAAGAAGAATCTGCAATGTTATTGGTCTAGACCTGGCATCTCGACTTCAGTCCCTTTCCCTCTGCCGTAACGTAGCTTCGGTGTGTCTTTTCTATACTTTCATGGTAATCAATTGTTCTGATGAATTTTCCACTATGATACTCAGACTTTATAAATTTAAGTGCAGTACTAGAGTGTCGGATGGCTTGATGTAACCGTAAGTTCTATGCTACCAGTTTCTTCTCTCGCACTTCTCGCTTGTGGAACTCTCTTCCAACTTCTTGCTTCTCAGCCAACTTTGATCTTCAAAAATTTAAATGCAATGTCAATCGTTATCTTCTGTTTTCTTAATTCTTGTTCTTTTATTGCCTTCTCTCCTTAAGAGTATTTTTTCTTATATTCACAAACAGCAAACTCTTACATCTATGTGGATTTATGTGCCTTACTTGGGGTGAAATGATTAAAAAAAAATTATACATGAATTAAATTTTTGAAGTAGTATGGCAATCAAGTGAAATTCAAATGGATGCTTGTAATTTTCCCAGGATTAAAAGAGGCACTTGACCATCAGTTGACGGAAAACTGACATGAATAAAATCAATTTATAATATGAGATAGATAGATAGATAGATAGATAGATAGATAGATAGATAATTATATATTGTATATTTGTGTAGCAACTTTTCTTTCATACATGTTTCATTGCATGCAACAGATAACGAAAATCTTGTGTTTTTTTTTTTTTAATTAGGTTTTTCTAATGTTGTTACATTTTTTTCTGTTTGTGGTCCTAAAGTAGGACAGAAACAGTCCGTAATGATTACTGTCCCATCCGCTTTCAGCAATTCATTAGTCAATTTGAAAGGGGGGGTCGTTGTTTCTATATTTTCCCGTGTTAGTTATCTAAGTTGTATTGTGTTGAAATAGTAGAAGTTCCAAGACACGTTAGAAAAAATGTGGCTGTTATTCCATGTTGGGGTGTCCTTTAAAAATCAGCCCTCACGTTACTACCATTATCGAGTAGGGTACTATTTAGGCTTGGCTACAATTGTTCTATATAAAGTACTACGATTATCGTCAATACGTTTTTACAATTAGATTTATTTAGAATGATAATATCTCTAATGGAGGCGGGCAGTTGTGTGTTTTATCCAAGTACTTTTTTATGGCACTGAGAACACAATCCTGAAAAATCTATTTCGGTTGAGCTCTCTGAGGAGGAAGTGTAGGTTTGTAAACAATGACTATTACGGCTAATAATGCAAGACTCTTCGGTAAATCGAATCGAGTTCTCTCAGTCACTGTGTGTTTATCTAAAAATAAATACGCTTAAATACACCTTCATCCCTGCCGTGTGCCAACGGCTTAGTGGCGGAATCCCCGACTGACGCCAATTCAGTAAGGTTTCGATCCTAGCTAGAGGCAACCGGAACTTTAGCCACTGATGAGCTGTGATACAGCGAAAAGGCTGTCTGTGGATGACAATACACACACACACACACACATATATATATATATATATATATATATATATATATATATATATATATATATATAGTTGTATAGTGGATAAATGAAACGGCCAGACATAAGAAGGCGTGTACGCGTGTGCTGGTGTGCATACGCAGGCAAGCAAATAAATAATCGTTAAATTTCTGCATGAGGTGTAAATGTAATAGTACACAATGCGGTTATACAGAGCAAAAGATATGTATTAATTAATACATATACGCGTACCTACTTTTTTGGCG